TGAGAATCCTTACAGAGTTTGTGCAAGACAGCTACCATAATTTCTGGTAGCTTCCTGGTAGCTTTCCAGTAGCTTCCTGGTAAGTTTCTGGTAGGATTCTGGTAGCTTCTTTATGGTCGTAGGACACGAGCTGATGAGTTTATTGCTGTGGTCGCAGTAGCTGTCCCTGTCGCTGCTGTCGAGGATGTGGTTGCTGACCTTCGTTGCTGCGGCTCTCACCGGTCTGTCTTGTCTTGTTGTTCTTAACAGGCTATGGCCACACTTGCACAAGACCTAGAGAAGAGAGGAATCAAGCTTATAGACCCTTTGAGAGAACACAGACAGCGTCAACAGCAACGGCAGCTCAACGAATCATCAGAAGCAGAGTCCATTGCGTCCTCTCACCACGAACAAGAAGACGATTGTTTGTCTGTAGCGGCATCTGTAGCGTCTGAAGAAACAACAACACCAAGAATGTCCAAAAAGGCTGTCCGAATTTCAAGGCCTGGTGGTGAAGAGGAAATAGTTTCTAGCCTCAGGAAACTATCTTTCAAAGGCCCTGTCCAAACTATTAGTGGAGCACTCCCATACCCCATGCTCTCCGGCCGCTGGGAGATATTTGATTACAGAGCAAAGGTATTGAATGGCTTCTGTTTGATGAGGATGGTCCTTCACAGTGGGACAAAGGAAACAGACTATTCAATTGAATGGATTGACTCAAGAACTTTGAAGCTCAAGCTCAAATGGCCCATCTTCATGCAGAATGCTCTCTTTATGACTGGATTGGATACCTACGCGGACGCTAAAGGCAATATTCTGGAGACTTATCATGATAAACACCCGGTCTACACTTCCATGGGGAAGAACTCAACTGATATGGAAGAGGAGGATGGCTTCATCTATTCGGAAGGCTTGTTTCGATTCCAGAAGCCTATGTATTGCTCTGATGACAAGTACAAGGAAGACGTCTTTGAATGCCCAGTAGATGCAAATGGTAACAAAGGAACTATCCTCCAGATTCTATTCCTTGAGAAGAGGAAGGATGAAAAGAAGCCTTTTGCATCCCCTGTTGCCATTAAGCAATCAAGTATCAGATTTAGTAAGTCACCTCAACAGCAGGCCCTTGATGAGAAGCTTGCGCGGCAACAACAGCTTGAAGCAAGGATTGAGCAACAGAAAAAGCTCCAAGCTCAGCTTCTAGAGCAGCAGCGTCTGGCACAGCAGAGGGAGGAGCTTCTGCGCCGGGAGCAGGAGCTCACACCTAGTAGTAATAAGAGACAAAGAACAAACACTTCCTTTGCTTCTCCACACCAGCCTAATCCTCCTCCAGACAAATGACTACTAGTAGTCGATGAGCAGCTGCTCTCTGCCAGAATGCTGGTGAGCAGTGAGGAGGATTCATTTCATTCAACTGATTCATCAATCAAGTCCTCTATTAAGGACCCAATCATTGCCTTCCAAGAAGCCAAAGGACACTTAGACAATCTTGAGCAGTATTTCAAGCAATGGCAGGAAGGATAGGCGTTGAAGTAGTAGTAATTATGAATAGTACGTACAAGACGCTAGTAATCTAGTAGTAGTAATTAATAATTACACGAGTCACGGGACAAGGATCTCCTACTACGTGGGCCTCTTCTTAACTATTGGCGATCCCTCTTAACTATCCCTGGACCAGTTCCAGCTGGCTCGATTGAATTTCCAAAGGCCCAGAAAGAGTATACCAGCTGTTAAGTCAGTTTTTAGGGGATTGCTCCTGTCCATTACTACTGCTCGTTGGATCTACTCCTCTTGCCAGGGACTATCGATGGTCTTAAAGTGCTTTTCTACTAGCCTATTAGAAGTATCCGACTTCATAATCCAATCCATCTTCAAATGTAGTTTCACCGTTGGCAAACTTGAGCTGGGTAATTACAGCAACAGCATTGAAACACATTCCATGCTTCTTTAGCATTCCTGCCCTATTTGGTTTCATGTGCCTGAAATGAGTAGTTAGAACATTGAATATCTTGAGTCGACCATTCACAGTTTCATGCTGTGCTCGGGCATTAGATTTCATCTTCCTTTGTTTGCTGGTGATCCCCATATCTGGAAGCTTCATCTTAGTATTGTCTCCCCTATAGCCCCTATCAACTTCAACTCCTTCCTCGTCATGAAGCAGTTGACTCAGTCCTTCCTTGAATATAGTTGCATCACTTGCACTTCCAACGAAAGGACCATTAATCCAAACAATCCATCCAGTCTTTAAGCAGACCCCTACCTCATACTTGACAGCTGGTCCATTTAACTTGTGGGAATACATGCCTCTCGAAAATGGCCATGGTTCAAATACAGGGCAATCTGTTCCATCTACACTCATAAAGCACGTGACGTGAACTTCTTCATCTAAACCATTGAACCTATTATCAAGACTAATCACCTCATCTTTGAGCTCAGCTATTCTTTGGACAAAATACCAGGACCACTTTGCAAACGTTTTCGCACACGGCCATCCAGCTATAGTGCAGTGGACTTCAGTTGTCGAATAGATTTTTAGATGAATTAGAGCCCACAAGAGATGTTTTGGTTCTCCCCCAGAATCAATAGGAGGTCCATGGTCAATTATCCTGTTCCAAACATCTGTTACTACACTGATAGGAGCTCCAAAACATGCTCTGAATCTTCTATCTTTATCTCGCAAATTCCATTGTCTTCTTTCTGGCCATCGAAGCACTTCTCTTGCTGCTGCTTCAATGGTGTCGGTTGTTACTACTATCATGGAATAACCAAACAAAATTTAGCTTCAACTGGGTCTTTGTCTACAGTTGAAGGCTTGTTGAATCAACACTGGAAGAGAGCTAACGATTGATACCGGTTACAGTGTCTAAGATTGAATGGAAGTGCTTAAATCTACTATCCCCATGGTCGGTTGTGACGGGGAGATTATTAATGAAGAAAGAACAGCAATTTAGATCAGCTTGCGAGTTTCAGGTCACAACAGTAGGACCCCAGTAGGATTTGAACAGGGAATCAAAACCCTTCCATTTTGACCAAAATGGCAAGGCTTCCCCCTTGATCCACGATTTTCTACAGGATTTTCTACAAAGCTTTGTACTAGGATCCATCCAGATAGATCAATTTTGCTCCTCCTTGAACAGGACTGCTGCTACTAGTAGTACATGTACTAATCCTGGACCCGTCGCGGGACCCGGGTCCAGCAGTAGCGCGCTGGCAAGACGCACCATCATGTCTAAGTAACAATATCTGAAGGGAAGTTTTTCTCGCAACCATCAACCTACCAGAAAGTAGCCAGGACTCTACCAGAAAGTTACCAGAAATTCTGGTAGCTTTCTGGTAGATTGATGGTTGCTTGATGGTTGCGAGAAAAACTTCCCTTCAGATATTACTACTACTAGTTACACATGGACATGTCCGTTGAATAGATGATCTTGCTGGCGGGTGGATGCCGTGCGACCAAATGATATTGATAATTAGCACTTTCCCCATTACCACGACTCAAATTTCAATCGTGTTTGATGTCTATTAGTCGTCTGTTAGTTTACCTACAGGCTCGCGCCAGCAGGGCAAGAACACAGTAAAAAGGCTGATTCAGAAGGGTCCTGGAGAGTTTTTGACTGTGATGCATCAAACGTCCTACTTTCTCCCAGCACACACCCTTCGAAATCTGATCCCTGGTGGGAACCGGTTTTGTCTGATATTGGGTCATTCCCGATAACATATATCTGTGTAAATTTTGGCACGCCCGGCTTGCATTATGACCCAAAATACATAAAAGTTGGTTGTGGTGGGCCCACGACAACCAAGAAATATGTAACTTACATATTTTTGAATTGGAATCCTTGACTTAACCATTTCAGTCTCGGGAGCAGGCGCGCCCTTAACTGGCGCCAAACTTTCGATTCAAGTGTCAAGAAAAAAGCACATGTTCTTTGCCCAAATTGTTCCCGCCACTTTGGAATTTTGTCAAATTAGCATGTATTTATGCAGGATTCCAAATTCCCAAAAATGGGGGGAAAATATGTAAGTTGAGCTGTCTGTCTGTGTCTTCTGTATCACTGAATGTGATTCCCGAAAACATACCGGAAAATATGTTATCGGGAATGACCCATTTATGTTGAACTCCGTTGTGTGACAGTGGCTGATTCCAGTCGTGCAGTATCAATGTACGAATGAAAATCGATGATGCATTTTAAATTTTGGGTTCTCATCACGCTATCCGCTCCTCTGTACCAGCCAGTATCCAGAGTACGAGTACGAGTACGAGTACTACCGCAAAACCTAATTATCTCTTTGGAATTCGCGCCACGCGCTACACGTTTACGAGGCTCAGTTATCTAGCTTGTAACGTGATGACGTCGCGCGGCAACAATAATGACAACACGTTTGTGGTCTTGCAGTCTCACGTCCCCGGCATTGGATTGTGCTTATCCTGATGGACGCAGTGTAGATTTTTTATGTACTCATGTACGTTTGTCAACAGGGGAATTTTGACACATCCGCACCTAACAAGAAACACTGTTAGCGGAATTTAAACAAGCTCCTCTTTTCGAATTCCTCTCCAAACCCCTGTGGATGCTTTCCCTCGATACAGGAGCGCAACGAGACCGATTGCGATCATTTCCTTTCATTCCAATCCATCGTAGAAGGCTTAGACGAGCAGGAGGCCGACCACCATTCCTAGAACACCAGAAGCATCTTAATCTCATACACAAGATACCGAAGGAGAAGGACAGAACTAGAGTACAACCTGATCAATCATTTTCACTAAGAATATACCATCATGTCAGAATTCATGTCTTCCACGCCGAGCTTAAAATTCTATGACAAATCCGAAGCCAGCCACAGATGGTTCGATTCGCCCCAACATTACGTCGACGAGTTGGGTGGGCCAAAAGGTTTTGTTATTGAAAAGATACTGATCGCAAACAACGGAGTGGGCGCCGTCAAAGCGATTCGCTCCATGAGGAAATGGAGTTATGAGGTCTTCGGAAATGAGCGCGCCATTAAGTTTGTGGTTATGGCTACCCCAGAGGATATGCGGTGAGTGCGAAAAATCTGAATGCGTCAATGGAGAGGGTGAAAACATTATGGATTGTTTTGTTGAAGTGTTTCTGTTCAGTTGTAAGTGGTAGTCCTGTCTCTCACACATCCTTTCGATATTCCCTCTCAGTGCGAACGCGGAATACATTCGTATGGGAGACGTCATCATTGATGTTCCTGGTGGATCGAACAATCACAACTACGCTAATGTGACGCTAATTGTTGAATTAGCTCGCCTTCATGGTGTCCAGGCTGTTTGGGCCGGATGGGGACACGCCTCGGAAAACCCTCTCCTACCCAATTCCCTCGCCAGCAGCAC